GGGAGTCAGACCTCAATAAGTACCAGAAAAGGGAAGGGGGGAGGGAAAAAGGGAAAAGGTTTAGAATGAAAGGAATTTTGTTAATTACACAAATGTTCCATAAACCACAGTGGAAGGGGGAAGGCAGAACTTGAATGGGACATTGGGGTGGGAACAGGAGATTGCACTGAGAGGATGAGAGTAAGGGAGCAGGCAGTTATAGTTAGGTAGTGGGGTTTGTATACTGAGGCAGTCAGGGGTTCAGAATCATTGGGATGGGGAAAGCATAGGAGACAGGATCCCATCTGAGAAATTATTCCAGGCTCACGGTTTTGCAAACCTTAAAATTCGACATAAGTATTAGTTATTATCATTCCAAAACCTCTGAAATCTCAATGATATGAATATTCCCTCTACACACATGCCCTCTACCACAACCCATCTATACCTTCTAATTCAATGCAATTCTCACCTGTGTTCTTCTACAGCTTCTGCACAAAGAAGCTAGGCCTCAAGCCTAGATCTTCTGCATATTTCATAGGTACTAATCAAGATATGAATCTGTTACTCCTTGCTTACTACATGATACTAGGCCTTCTCTACTTCCAGACTAGCTTTCCACCCACTATCCACACTGTCTCTTGAAGGCACAACAATACATCAAATTCCAACTCACATGCTTATATATTAAAACACATTAATATGCCGTATTTTTAGTATGTTTTAAATTAGAATAGAAGACAAAAATAGCTTTAACACTTGAAAATAACTTGATATCTTTTATTATCTGTAATGTTTATAATACTCAATAAATGTGTATGATTCACATTACTAGGTAAAAAGTTCACCTCACAATACTAAACTGATCAATACATTTAATGACAACTATTACTCTTTTTTTTTTGACTAGGCAATAGGGTTAAGTGACTTGCCCAGGGTCACACAGCTAGTTAGTGTTATGTGACTAAAGCCAAATTTGAACTCAGGTCCTCCTTAATCCGGGGCCGGTACGCTATCCACTGCGCCACCTACCTGCCCTGACAATTATTACTCTTCCTATGTCATCTTTAGCCTATCTTACTTTTAAACTCTGCTTATCTTACTTTACACTTTGCTGCTAAACACATGATCTGGTATCTGGTATCCTGACTAAAGAGGAAGCTTCTTCATATCAAAAATTCAAAACACCTACATTATTAAGTTCTTTAGGAAAGGGATAATTCACTAGAGTAATCTTTCTCAATTTAAGTCTTTTATTTTCATCTCATTTGTAGATTCCATTTGCTAGTCAATCTATGTCCAAAGTACAATCTCCTTCACTTTTATGAAAATATATTAACTACAACAACAGATGAAGGTTCAGACTTTCCCATTACATAGCCCAATTTGGAAAGATTTTGTTTCTTAAAGCATGAAGCTTGGTCATTAAAATTTCAAATTTCAATCTCAAGTAATTTAAGTAGAAATGCCCCTTAAAGCTTTAAAATTATCTATATGTAGCAATCATAAAAATTCCATAGGAATGAATTAAATGCATCAAAACAGCAGTATATGTAGATAGATAAAACAACAGTATTCATTACAAATTTGTAGATGACACAAATCGGGAACAGACAGTCAATATAAGAGACGATAAAAGATATTTCAAAATGATCACAAAAGACTAGAATATTGGGAAATGTGCCACAGCAAAAAAACACCAGTCCTGGAGCCAAAGGACCAGGACTTCAGTCACAGCTAGACTTGTATTTTGGTATGTGGTTACAAGCAAGCCTCTTAATCTTTACTTTTACAGAATAAGGATAAAAATACTTGTATTCATTACTCACAGGATTTTTATGAAAAAAGTGACTTATAAATTCTAAAGTATGCTATAAATATGAACTATCTATGTTTAATATTATATCTTTCCTGACTGTTAATGAAACTTGTATAAGGTTATTACATTGTATGTGTATGTATACTGTGGCCTATGGTATCATAAATTTATACAGAATTTTCCCTGAACACTTCTTCAGTGGGATAGTATGAGGCACATTTCATCTCTTGAACTCAGAGAAGTGGAACCTTACATGTGAAAAAATATTAATAATGCCTAGAGAGAATAATTCCAGAAATGTATGAGAAGAGTCAAAAGGAATGCTGTCTTCTGACAAAAAAAAAAAGGGATTAGGGTCTATCCCCAAACTAATGCCAGATAACCAGCGGTCAGGGTCAAATCTGTTTCGTTGTCATTGCTACTGTTGTTCAGTTGTGTCTGACTCTACATGATCCTCTGGTCATGGGGTTTTTCTTAGCAAAGATACTTGGCCATTTCCTTCTCCAATGTCTCCATTTCACAGATGAGGAGGAACTGAGGCAAATAGCAGTTAAGTGACTTGCCTAGGGTCACAGAACGGGTAAATGTCCAAGGCTGCAGTCGAACTCAGGTCTTCCTGATTCCAGAACTGGTGCTCTTTCCCCTGCACCACCTAGCTGCCCCTAGGGTCAAATCTATAGATTCATTAAATAGAAATAATGCTTATGGCAATGTCATTTATCATCTTTTCCTGAATAAGATCTGGAGGGGAAGATAGTTAGCATGACTGGGAAGCACCACTATGTTGTGGCAGCCTTAAAAGCAACTGCATCCTTGGACTGCACTAAGAGAATTATGGCTTCCAAAAATAAGAGGTGAGAATCTCACCTGGCTCAGAGCACATTGGGATATTAAGTTTAGTTCTGTGTCCCACACTAAAGAGGACAGAAATAGAATTCTGAGCGTCCTTGGGTCCCCACAATATGAGGATCTGTAAAAAAGAGAAGACTCAGGCAAATCAAAAAAAGTTGCTCCCAAGTATCTGAAGCCATGTCAGGTGGAAGAGGGATTAGATACTTGTTTGGTTCTAGAGGGCAGAACTAGGAGGAAAATGTGGAAGTCACAAAAAAATTCTGACAACGTCAGGAAACAAACTTCCTAGCAAACCAACAATGGAATGGGTTGCCTCAGAAAGCAGTGAGGTCCCCTCACTGGAGGTCTTCAAGCAGAGGCTAGATGACCCCTTGTACAATATGTTAGAGCAGAGATTGGGCTATATAGTCACTGAGTTCCCTTATAACTCGAAAATGCTGTTTGATTCTGTGTGAGTTTCAGGGTACAACTGCAGAGATCTGTGTCATGTCAATTCTATACAGTCTAAATTTAAAGGGTTTTGTCTGCTTTTTTTTTAAACTTTATTTAAGTTACTGCTAAAATTTTTTTTGGAGGAAAAAAATCTATCCTCAGTGAACAGTGGTGATTACAGGAGAAATCCAGATCAAAGCCTTGAAGGCAAATTGGAATTATCAGCAGAAAGGATTAGTGGCAACAACAGAGAGACAGGAGGCCTTGTCATCTTGCCTTACTCCTTACACCGCCATCACACCCCTCTTTAAAAGCTCAATGATACAGGTCCAGAAATGAAAACAGAATCAGCATTTCAGAGTTCTCTGGTACATAAGAAGCTACATGGTCCAATTTGTATCTAAGAAATAATCTCCTCTACAAAACACCTAAAAAGCAGTAAACAAGCTTTTGCTTAAAGACCTCTAGTTTGGATGGAAGGAGGAGACTCCTGCTTCTCGAGTGAGTATATCCTCTCTTCTGATAGCTTTCCTTATTGGAAAGTGTTTCCAAATACTGAGCCTATTACCTCTACTTCTTTGCACATTTCATACACTAGTCCTACTTCTATCTTCCGCAGTAAGCATTAAGTAGGCTAATTTCTCTTTCACATAACAAATCTTTAAATTCTGAAAGAAAACGATTATGCCTCCTCTCTCTAAGACCAAACTAAGCTATTCAATTAACAGTTTTTATGTCTGAGTCTTTGTGACCCCATTTGGGGTTTGGTTGGCAAAGATACTGAAGTGGTTTGCCATTTCCTTCTCTAGTTCATTTTACAGATGAGGAAATTGAGGTAAACAGGGTTAAGTGATTTCCCCAGGGTCACACAGCTAGAAAAGTATCTGGGTCATATTTGATCCTTACTCCAGGCCTGGCACTGTATCCACTGTGCCACCCAGCTGCCCATTCAATCAACAGTTATCACTGTCTATAGAAAAAGCATATGCCCCAGTGGGTTAAGGCAGCATAACCTCCTAAAAGCTATTTCCCAAAAAAAACCCATATATCTGAAGGACATTAAACAAGCAAAGTATTTTGCTCTTTCCAAAAAATCCCAATAGGCTAGCAAGACTTTGGGAACATAATAATGTTGGAAAAATTAACAGACAAGAAAGAATTGCTGAGTAAGTCAATATTATTGGGAACTCCTAAAATTTGAAAGCTAGCAATGACCTGTGTCACCAGAAAAAGAGACAGTCCTTCCCCAGTGGCCTTGTAATCTACATAAATAGCAATCATAAAGTTTGATGTCTTTGCTCTCCAGAAGGATTTAGAACTACTTTCAGGAAACCCACACATACACATAATGGTGAGCTGCTCTAAGTTTAAAGTGGCAGGGGGTTGAAGGAGGGGGTTGTAGGCAGCATGGTCATGCAGCTCTGTGCTTTAAGGACCCTGGAGGCTTTTCAAGGCTACAATTAAATGTGGCTTGTTGTATTCTGACTGATGGAGGGAACCTGAATTATTCCCTAGCTGGGGCTACATTAAACCATTTTTCATTAGAATTCCTTTTTCCAGACAGTGCAGTACAAGTTATGCTGCCAGGTAAATGTCCTGGGAGGAATTGTCAAGTCAGGTAACAGTTCAGGGAGTAAATTTTCATTTCTCTGAAGAGTCCTTTGAGGAACATTTTAATTTACTTCTGATAGCAACAACCCTCCCCACCTCTACACACACACCCTGCTGAATCCCTCTGTCTCTCTTTTCCCATTTGACTGTCTCTTTCCTCTGTCTCTCTCTTTTCACTCTCTCCCTCTGTCTCTTTTCCCTTCTGTATCACTGTCTTCTCTCTCTGTTCCCCCTCCCACCGCCACAGGCAACTCCATCACGATCAGTTTCTAGGGAGGTATACCAAGAAAACAGAAATAAGCTATACCTCATCATCAGCTTGCTGCAATCGAGCAACAGCATAGCGCCTCACTGTTGGATTAGTAAAATGTGAAGATAACAACTCCAAGGAATCTTCCACATCCATTGGCTTCCATTTTCCCAGTAGTTCCAATGCCTGTTTGGCCTCTTGGGGAAGATCCCAGTTGACACATTTTAGAAACTTTGTCAAAGCCTAAAAAGAAACCAAAACAAACAAAAACAGAAACAAAAACAAAAACAAAAATCATTTTGGATAACTAGCAACAACCATTTCCCATAACCAAGCATTTGAAACACCAAGACAACCTGTATACTATATTCTAGACTGACTGACCGATTTGATTTCCTACCCCTATTCCTGCCCAATAATTACATCTATTTCTAGACAACTGGATTAATATGAATATGCTCAGATCTTGTATCTAAATACAAGACTAGGCATTCAAATAACTATTTTAAAAGAGCGTATAAGCACAAAAACACAAATACACATCATCATTTGCAAGTATCATTAAAAGTATCATTAAAGTAAATATTACTGTCTTACAATTTAGTTTATTTTCATTTTGATTCATTTTTAGACAGGTAGTAAAACAAAACTCTCAGCAAGATCATGGTGGGAAGAATGCAACTTCTATAAGAACATCATTTGTGAACAGTTACTTAATGAACGAATGATCTTTGAAGGAAAATAATACAAATGTCAGAAAGAGTACCACCTACTGGAGTACTAGTATTTAGCGACTTTTGGACCCAATATTCTTTGCTGACCTATCTTACATAATCTCTGAGCTAGAAGGGACCTAGAAAACCATCTAGTTCAACTCATACTTGAAAATGAATTTCTTCTACAATGTACCCAATAAGTGGTCTCAAATCTCTGCTTTCCGACCCTACAAAGCAGTCCCATTTATGGACAGTTCTAATTGTTGAATTTTCCCTTACGTTGAGTTTAACGTCCCCACTATGCAACTTGAACCTATACTCTTAGTTTGCCCCCTGGGCTTAAGAAGAACAAATCTGATCTATTTTCTATGCATCTATCATATCCCCAAGAAGTCTCCTATCTTGGGGCTAAACATACCCTGAGTCCCTTCAATTGATCTTCCTCTTCTTCTCTGGCTCAGGATTATACCCTGTAATCTTCTTACTTCTTCAGTAAACCATCTATTCATTATTACCTCCACATGACTTCCAAGAATACTTCCCAAATAGTAATTCTTGTCCTGACTTCAATTCCCTTTAACTGGTCCTTTGATTACCATAATGCAAACAGATGTCTAGGTATTTAAAAATTTTAAATATAAAAAACTAAACTGTGATCCCAGCCAGCCAATCCCATTTTTCCTTTACCATTAACCATGCCACTATTACTTTAGTTTGCAACATTGGAGTCACTTATTCTTATCCCTTCACAGTAAATCCAACATCAATTCCTGCCAATTCTTTAGGATCTCTCTTCATTGTTTAATATGCATATTTACATTGCGAGATCAAGCCCTTGTTACCTCCTATACCATTATTTGAATAATTCCCTAGATAGTCTTGCTGCCTCCTGACTACATTAAATTACGTTAGCTATATAATACTGCCAACTGATACTCAATGCATGTATTTTCATTTCCAAAATGTATTTCTAAGTTGGGCAGGGAAACAATACCTCATAAATAATTAGAACAAAAACTCCCTCATTTCATAGAAAGTCAAGTTTTAATAGAAATATATTGTTCTGTACTTATTTTAAGTAAATCCTTCAGCAAGCCAACATATCTAACTCAGTAACTGAAAAAGCATAACTCCCCAGATTTGCAGATTTATAGATTCATTAGTAAGATATATACTGCTTTGTCAGCAAAAGCTCAAGGCACTACTGTACACAGAACTTCACAATTAAATTTTACAAATATAAACAGGGAAGCAGACAAGGGAAGAGGATGGATAGCAAAAGAGGAAGATATATGAGAAAGAAAACAGAGAGAACAATTGAAAGTTAAGAGAAATTATTTAATAATAATAATAAATCCCCAAACTTTAGCTTTACTGGGTATCCAGTACAGGGCAAAGACACAATTTGATTCGAATTCGGTTGTACTTCAAGGTGTACCATTGATCAAAAAAAATTTTTTTTAATTTTTTTAAAAGAGCAGGGCTTCTTAAACTGGGATCAAAGGGAGCCCTAATCTGTGGATAGATTTCAGGGAGATCTATAAACTTGAAGGAAAAAGAAATACATCTTAATTTCTTCTGTAAGCCATGTATTTTGTTTTGCATTTAAAAGTTATTTGGAGGTGTCTATATGTCTATAGGTTTTCCCAGACTGCCAAATGACTCCATGACACAACAAAGGTTAAAAACTCCTGAATTACAGGGAGAAAAAGGCAGGTCCTTTAGGTCAACTGTCAGGCTTGAAATATTAACCTATGCAGTCTATATTAGCATGGTTCTCTGTAAGAAACAGACCTCAATAAATATTTGCTTCCTTAACCAGATCATCCCAAAGATTCCAACACAAAATTAAGGGTCTACTCCTGCCCCCACCAATCCCCCAAAAAGGCCAAAAAATGGAACTATGTTGCCTATATAACCCAACTCAAGATCAGATGACTACCCCAAAGTTTGTCTGTGTATTTAGGCAGGAAAATGTTTGTGGTGATGATTACCAACTAGTGAAAAAGTGCTAAAAGTACCAGCTTAAACAACCCACCTCTCAAAGCTTATTTATATATTTGAAGAGTTTATAAAATAATGTCTCTTACAACAAGTATTGATTTAAGGGCCTACTATGTGCAAGCCACTGTGGGGGGGTGGGAGGATACAACCATTCAAAACATTTAATTTTTTTTTTTGTCAAAAGGCCATTGAAAGGAAGAGGAGAACAAAGACAGGTACTTTTTTCTTTAATCAGATAACAATGGACTTCAATTCTTCTAACAGAGTGGTGTCAAACTCAAATGGAAAGAGATCCCTGACACCTGCACACTGGCTTAGAAAACCACAAATTAACATTATATATGTTGTATTGTACTTTTACTTATTTTGTTAAGCATTGCCCAGTCACAGTTTTAATCTGGTTTGGGCCCAACAGAAGTTCTGCCTACTATATACATGAGTTTGACACCTCTGCTTTAATACCTCAGCTCCCAAAGTGCTACACAAAGAAACTGCATTTAAGGTGACAAAATCAAGAAAAGCAGATGGACCAGGAAAAGTACACACAGAAAAAGTCTATGCTACAAAAAGCATAATACTGAAAACATAGAGGGATCTATTTTTAAGATAACTGAAAGAGAGCAAGATACTAAACAGGAAAAAAAATCACCACCACTATTTATATTCTTCAAAGGGCGAGCCATAACACTCCTTGCTCATCCCTATAAAATGTTTATCAGAACAACCTTCATACAACAAGAATATCCATGATGAAAACATAAGAAGGTGACAGGCTGGCTTCTGAAAGCAATTTTGCACAGAAAAACTCATCTTCATTCACAAAACTGACCGAAAAGTTCAGGAAATACAAGATTTCCATTATTTTTAATGTTTGTCAGTTACAAAAAAGCATACTGAACTGAAAGACTCTTCTCCAACAAGGTTTCTCTATATATGTTTGAAGCATCCAAGATGTAGATTTAGATTTAACCACAGAGATAAAATTCTATTAATATCAAGCTATATATCAGCTTAAGGGGCCTGCCTTCCTCACAGAGAATGTTCTCTAAAGTACAAATAGAAGACAAATTTCATTAATGAATGTTATAAAAGGCAGAAGTACTTAAACTTAATTTTACTTCTGTTTTCTTTGCAATGGAGAAGAATCTTTGGGTTGCAAAGGACAGAACAAAAATGGCTATTTCAGAGTTGTAACAATTTAAGTACAGAAATAGCAAGCAAGTACCAAGGTACCTGGAATGAACTTGAGTCAGCAAGCCCAGCTGAACTACATGGAAGATTACTGACAGAATTAGCAGTTATAACTGCTGAGTGGGTTTATGATCTCTGAAAGATACTAAGAAAGTGCAAAGGACTAAGAAATGGAATCCCACTCCCCACTCCCAGCAGAGGTGGGGAAGAATTACAAGTCCATGAGGTTGGCGTTAATTCCTGGCAAAATTTTATTACTTAATTTTTTTAATTAATTTTATTTATTAAACAAATTGTTCAAAAAGCAATCAGTGTTCACAGAGAGCTAGCACGGTGTCATCAAGAACAGGGACTGACAGAATAACTCCATTTCCTTTTTGCTGAACTATAAGCACAAACACACATAATTTATTCAGATTTTAGTAAAGCATTTAACAAGGCTATTCTTATAGAAAAAAAAACAACTAGAGATGTGGCATAGAAAAGGTGCTACAGTACACAGTGTACTAGACTTATAGTTAGGAAGGACTGACTTCAAATTCTTCCTCAGAAACATACCAGCTGTGTAGCCTTCACTTTATTTCTCCATGCCTCAGATACCTCATCTGGAAAATAAAGGTGTTGGACTCAGTGGCCTCCAAGATCCCCTCATCTCTAAATCAACAACCCTGTAAGTTATTTTGATTCAGAAACGATTCAATGACTGGACTCAAAAAAGTGGTCATTAGTGGCTGATTATTACCTTACAAGGTCTCTAGTGGAGTGCCCTAAAAATGTTTGGTACTGTGAAGACTGATATTTTACCAATGACTTGTATGAAAGCAGAGATTAGATACACATTAAATCTGCATATGAAATGAAGCTGGAGTGGAAAACTAATACTTGGATAACAGATTCAGGATCCAAAGAAATATCTTGACAGGCTAGAAAACTAAGCTAAATATAATGATATTAATTTATCCATATTAAATGTAAAGCCTTATATGTTGATTTGAAAAAAAATCAGCTTCACAAATACGAAAGTAGAAAAGCATAGCTTAGTGGCATGGCTTAATAGGAGTTCCTCTAAAAATAAGACCAAGATAAAATTAAAATAGTTATATAGGAGCCAAAAAATGCTAATGCAATTTTAGGCTACATTAAAAAAAAAGGCATAATTTGAAGGAATAGGCAAGTGATTGTTCCACTGCATTTGGTCCCAGCCATATCACATTTAGAGTACTGTGTTCATTTCTAAGTGTTTCACTTTTTTTTTTAATCCAATATTGGATTTTATTAATGTTGGATGATAAAGTTGCTGTATTTTTTAAACTAATTTATTTATTTTTAGTT